TAATAAAAATAAATCATATCCTCCTAAGTCCCTATATCAAAATTTATCAGTTACCCAGATGAAAACTCAATGAGTATTGCATACTAGGGGCCAGAAATCAAAATGGGTATTGTTTGTTTCTCACCAGAGGAAGTGCTCTTGACGATTTTCTCGGAGGAGCTCTTAGAATGCTTATGGTCCTTTGAGTTGTTTGAAGTTTCTCATAGACCCATCAAAAATTCATAGGAACACAAAAAAGACTCTAAATTTCATTTTTGAAATTTAGTACATCTGAATATTATGATAAAACACACTAATGTTCATTTTTGTGGGATAAATAAGGCCTGAATTCTTTGATGTGAATAACAGGACACATATTCAATAGACAAAATAAAAAAAAACAACACAAAAGCAAACATTCAACAAGAATAATGCAACATAATGAAACAAGCCTCAAATAAAAACTAAATTTGTTGCTTCGCCTTCCAATTTTTTTTTTTTTTTAATAGTAAAATCGTTGGTTATTTGTTTGTTTTGATTTATAAATAAATATATATATATACAAGATCCTCTTTGCTAAATCAAATTCTCACATTGTATTACAATTGATTATATCTTTATATATACATAGATATATAAAGCTTTACAACTACTAAAAAAAAAAAAAAATCACACTCGCTATCCTAAAAATCCCAATTTACCTTTCAACTTTTCTCTCACTGATTCAACAACTCTCACTCAATACACTTCATATATGCAAAAAAGTACACATACTGATAAATAAATAAATATATATATATATACACTCATTTTTGATGAAAAGAATTGGATTTCTTGAGGGGTGAAGTGTTGGTTGACTAAAATAGAAAACCAAATATACCCTAGAATTTAGAAATTCAAGAAAAGATCGTGAATTACAACATAAAAATGCTCATATAAATTTTCTATGGAAAGAGGCAAAAATGATTCTAATAAATTGAGTAATGTTAGTGATTCAAAAACAATATTAAAAATTTATGTCAATATCGTATAATGTTTTAGTAATATATATATATATATAGAATTTCTAATATTTTGCAGTAAATTAGACAGTGAAAAGTGGTCATTGTTTGAGCCTTCATCTCAAGAACCACAATGTATTGCCACAACAATAGCCATCATTACCACCACCATTTAGGCACTACCCTAACCCAACACCACAAATGAACTTCAGTATTACAATATCACTTCTTCAAAGTAAACCACCTCACCCTACCTTCGGCAACTCATAATCATTTACAAACACTAGGATAACCACAACAGTCAACGAGATATGAAACCTTAACCCCTCTCACAATTACTCCCCACTGCAATTCTACCTGGCATAAAGATACCATTTTGGAACAGGTATTATACTTTTACGGAATTGTAACTACGTTTTATACGATATGATAGGTTCCAATGAAATCCAAAAATTATATGGGATAATGAGCATCAAGAACAAAGAGTTTAACTCCATTTGCATGCTAAAGACGACCAAGAGCAACTACCATTCCCAAAGTACAGATGGCACATTGAATTCATGACAGTAAGTAAGAGAGAACACACATAATCAACCAACATAACATCAACCTAATGGGAAAGCTCAAAAATCCACAATCAGAGTGCTGTGTAATATTTTTCAGATATGTTTAATATTTTCTCAATTAATACAGATCACAAAACAGAACAAAATTCAGTGTTGCCATTTAGAATTGAATTCAAATTCATTCAAGTTCGCAGCAACAAAGAAAAAAATTAGCGACAATACATTTGTAATGAAACGGAGAGAGGTGCAATACTTACAAATTGACAAATTTTACGTTTTATCAATTTGTATATATACATATGGAAATTATTAACACATTATACTAACATATTGTAGGTGTCAGATGCATCTAGTGGGCAACAAGCTTCAAAAGAAAATGAATAGGTATTCATTTCTGTGGGTATTACCTGTAGTTGTTATACCCATAACGTACTAATAAAAGATCCCTTCACTAACATTAAGTAGCTTTATATGGTAAAGGATCCTTTCACTAACATAGATGTTCATTTGCTAATAGCCTGGAGATGTGCATGAAGTATTGACTTTATGATTCCCCTTCCAAAAAGCATATTTACACATGAAACATATGAATTAATACCTTTTTCTATCAGTTCTCATTATTAGTTCCTAGTTTGTTAACCGGAAGCATGAACATAGACACAATCATGAACACTGACACAGGCACGAGACAACTATTTTGAAAAAATTAGGATACGGACACGACATGTATACGGCATAAAGAAAATATATTTTTCATCGTTTGTCACTGTACAATGCACAACTCAAACTTGACTCTCAATCAGTGCTGTAAGGAGTAGATAATTAAAAAGATCGGTAAAATACTTCCAGACATTAGCACTTCCGTACTTCCTCAAGCATTTATCATAAAATCCATACCTGAACAAAGGAAGAAAAAATTATGAATAATAATGAGGTTATAGTATTTTGTAACTTACAAGAAACTATGGTAGCTCTAAGCTGTGTGACACAGTGAAATACCTTTCCAAATTATAGGGAAAGCTACATGAATTTGTTTTGAATCTTATGATATTGTTCTATCGAAATAAATGTCTGTTGACTGGTTGGTCATCAGCAAAGTCATGACTTATCTCAAACAATAACATTTTGAGCTTTCTCATAGTTTTTGCAGCCCCTTAACTACAAGGCATCAATCCTTATTCTTGTAGTAGTATTTGTTTTTTGGCACATAATCAGATCATCTCAACTTTCAATTCAATTGTCCTCCTTGGTATTACAAGCTCTAACTGTAATACATGCTCCATCTGTAAAACTATCTATAACAACTCTTATGCCAGCAATTTTTTTTTTTTTTTTAATTTTTCGATAAATAACATGGCATCAAATTTAGGAGTAGCACTGTAACATATTGTCAGTGACAGAAAAGACTACACCGTTGAAGAAACAACATGAAAAAGTTGACCTGGCTTCTTTGCTAGGATCAAACACATTTGGTTATCAATAAAAATAAGGCAAGAGATGAAAATGTTTGGCATAAAAGCCTCCCCACTTTAATACTAAAAAAAAAAAGGGGTTTCATAGGTTCTATAAATAGAGGGGCAGCTTGAACTTAACATTTTCCTTCAAGATTGAACATATATATTGGAGCAATTACAAGTTTTGAAACAATTAGAGATCAGAAATAAAATTTCAATCACGAGTTTCCATCAAAGGTTGATATTTAGGCTATTTATGAACTTAGTAGACAACCCAAAGGGTACTCCAAAGTGTGGCTTCCATGCAAATAAAATAATGCTATACAATTTAGGGCATTATGGAAACTTTGTGACTCAAACTCGACAAGACTTTATTCCAATTACTTAAAATTGAATATTATGAGCAAGACTAATCTTAAATACATGAGGTGCAACCAACATAAGATTGAAAAGGGTTCAAGTTATTATTAAGTATCAAATACCATAAGGTGTCCATTTTTCCGTTAACATATAAGCAAGATCCACTAATGAGAGAAAGAACATGAAATTGTTGATACTCAATAGATTTAGAATTAAATTGAAGTAAAGAAGCATTCCCCATGGTTGTCATATTATAAAATGCCCCATCAACACAAAGGAAGAGTTCTAAAAGTCACCTGTAAATTGGGTCATACGAATAGTACAAAAATTGGAAAAGCAAGACACAATAAACAAAATGAGTGAGGATATTGAGAAAATTGAGTTAAATGAATACTTAAGTATTGAAGGAATGTAAACTAAATCATACAAGTAAACTAGAAACAGTTCAAAATGAGAACAAACAAACAGAAAATCATAAGTGATGATTGATGCAAAAATGCCACTGATTGCAATTTGTCATAATTTGGTTCAAGTTAAAGGCATTACAAGGAGAACATGAAGACAATGATGGTCAAAAGAGGTGGCATGTTATGTAATAAAAAATTAAACTCTAGTAGAGTGGCAGGTGAATAAGGTGACAGGTAAATTAAACTCTACGAAGCTAATCAGTTGAAATTTAAGGTGTCATTAGTTTCAGCCCATGACAGTGCATCAAGCATAAGTCGTTAAAAATTTCTTACAGTTTCACGATGCATGGGTCAAATTAAAGAGAAAAATCATTAAGTAGCTTTATATGGTAAAAGATCCTTTCACTAACATAGATGTTCATTTGCTAATAGCCTGGAGATGTGCATGAAGTACTGACTTTATGATTCCCCTTCCAAAAAGCATATTTACACATGAAACATATGAATTAATACCTTTTTTCTATCAGTAACATATGAATTAATACCTTCAAGATGTGGAATTCAAAAAGGCATGCATGCTTAAATGTGATGTGGAATTCAGTAGCATATGCTTAAATGTCTCGTACTACTGTCAAGGTAAAAAATTTGGAAAGAAATATGTTAATAGAGCAAATTTTAAAGTCTAATGCCAAGTGTGATGTGGCTACCTGGAAATCTCTTCCCTAGTTGTGAATTTCCCTGATTAATGTTGGAATTCCTCTGATGAAATTAGCTACAATTTGTGGATTTGAACTCAAGTGTTGTGTTTTGACATTGGACATGTGTGCCAGATGAGGATGCTACCCAAAATCCAGGGCCGGGTACATGGATAAGTTTATGCTTGTGAATTTACTTTATTGACCGAGAACAATGATCTGCATATATGCATGCAGAAGAGCAATGCAGAGCAAAAAAATAATAGTCACGGTGTAGTCTCCTTCGCAAGGAGCCACATATAGCTCACATATGTGTATTTTTAAGATTATTGTGCACTGCTTATAGAGCTCTGTTGGGACTGTGTGGGTGAAGCAGAGGAGGTGTCATGGTCTGAGATGGGGTTGTGAGCAGAGGAGATCTATTTTGCTACTATTTTATTTAGCTAATTTGCTGCTGTGAGCTATAAGCTGTGTTACTGTTGTGATGCAGCAAATTTGCTACTGATTTGTTGTTTTGTTAGTTTGATGCTGAATGCCAGCAAAAATAAGCTTAAATCAATGGATGAGGTCAGATCTCTTTTAAGCTTACGTGCATTGATCTTGAATGGTAGGATCCATCTTGATCAACTGCATCACCTCATTTTTTAATTTCTGATGTATATATTAATTTTGTTGGATGGAAAAATACAATTTTAAATTTCCTTATTTCTGCTAATGAATCCCTCTTTGTGCAGATAATGAGATTGTTTCCATTTGCAGGCTTGATCAATTGAAAGAATTGAACACTTTAGGTATGAGTTTTCAGTAATCAATTTCATATCATGTGGATGATATTATTGCCCAATACCCATGCTATGCCTATGACATATAACTGAATCACCTCATTGCCAGTAAACTTGCTTAACTTATTTGTTCTTCCAACACTTGTGATGGTCCAGTTGTTGAGAATTTGTATACTTGTGTATGTAAATCAGCTTTAAACTATTCGTTATCTATAGTCTTTATATTTTTTTCAGTACTTTACTCTTGTCTAGTTCTAGGTTTGTGTCAAACAAGCAATCATTTTTTGTTTCTCTAAACTGATGGGTATATTTCATGATAAATGAGAAAATTAATCGTATGATGACATTTTAGAAGCTTCAGATGATTTACTGATAGCAACATCATATATACAACCAATCACCACCTTTGTACATTGAACAAAATATTTCAATTCAAGCCAATGATCTGAGATACACTCTATGCATAATAGGGTAAAGTTAAATGTTTAATGGACTTTCAATTTTTTCTTAAGTTGACCTTTCTGTACATGGCTCAAAACGGAATCGGGGGTCCATATGTTCACCTCAGCCCTGTATGTTCACATTGTACAAATATTTCAATTCAAGCTAATGACCTAAAATACACTTTATGCATAATAGGGTACATCTAAATGTTAAATGGAGCCTCAATTTTATTTAAGTTGACCTTTCTTTTCTCTACATGGCTCAAAACTGAATTGTGGGTCCATATGATATATGTTTACCTCAGCTATGTAGGAAGGTTTTTGAACAATCCAAATGTGGATATAATGATTAAACCTTGCCTCAATGGGGTTTAATGTGTTTGTAGCATAATTCTGGTACAACTGTATAGGTGATGGAGAAATCGGAAATGGAACTAATTTTCTTTTAATTATCTTTTCTTTTTTAGTTTTAAAAAGCAAGCTTGCACAGGATGCACCTTTATTCTTTGTCAAGTCCTGTTATTTCTAGGTGTATGTGACTAGACTAGAGTATGAAAAGCATGAGAATTTCCGAACATGTATAGGTTGTTTTATTAAACAAATCTTGGTTGTGATTATATTTAATAATGAAAATCTCGTTCTTTATGAGAGTAGTTCTTACAATATACACTGTAGGTAAATGTTTACTTTTTGAGTTTGAGTTCTTTTTTTGGGTTCTGTATAAGTTCTTTCTAGAAATCCAATCAATAAACTTGAAGAGTCACTGGTCAAGGTGAAATCAATCACGAAGGTAAACACTCATAAATGGCAAGCTTCAACATCAGTTTACCCTTTTAGTGCTAGGATTGTAACTGTATGTCTTAATTTCCGACCACACTGCCAATCAAGCATTCAGCTGGAGAACACTGGCAGAATAGATTAAGCCTGAACGACCTGTCCCAAAAAGAAGAGATTCCGGCGGTGGTTTGTCCACCCAGGGGCACTCCGACGTTCAAGTCAGTTATCTCTCAAAGATTGCAAAAGTGCTTAATTCACTTATTCAGAATACAAAAAGTGTACCTTAAACCCATGGGGGTGACTCTCTTTTATAGCCAACACAATTCTAGTCCTAATAGAAGCCTAGCTTCAATGGACTTAGGATTACTGCTAATCTTGGACTCCCAGTATGACTAGGATAAACTCTCTAAGAGTCTTATCTTTACCCAAACTGAAGTCCTCTCCCATTCTAGGACTCTAGTCCCTTATCCGATTATCCTAGATTCCGATATCTTCGGGGATAACCTCGGCCTAGCCGAGATCATTTCGGTGTCATGACCAGGACACGTGGCACCCTGGCTGGCACTCCGGTGACACCTCGGCCACGTGTCATCATTCAAAATTTATATCCCCACAACTGCCCCTTAGGTTCTATTGCCTCAGCATCCTAAGGTGATGGAACCTATACCTTTTTGAACCCATAATATGTCAGCTATCTTGTCTTATTTTTTCTTCCGAGGTTTCCATACATCGGCTCCCATATGAGAAACTCTTCTACGTGTTTGCACCAATGCCTTTAAAACCACTAACCAAATCCGTTCAAGTTCATTGAGCCAAGATCGCCCCCGTTGCCGAGGTTTTTACTTCATTAAATCAAGAACTCCAAGAGTTTTATCACGCGTGTGAGCTGTCACGCACAATATTTCAACCGTTCCCGCCACGCGTCCTTCTCCTACTGAGCCGTACCTGACACGCGCCATCAAGTCGCATCACTCGTGTGTGCGTCGTCTATCAGACACGTCGTCCTAGGCACATTGATAGTATTTTGCCGTCATTCTCCGCGTTTGATCAAAATCAATTCTCTCTGTCCGTCCCTTCACTTTTTCCATCATCATCTTCATGCAAACTCTCACTCTCCCTAATCTGCCATTTGTTTCAAGCCTTCAAGCTCTGCAACCACTCTTATTCTTTTCCTCTGGTGAAGCTTTCACTGATCTTTTCCGATTGCAACCGTCACCTGACTCCGACGTAATCAACACCGACTTCACTCCCCTGGTAAGCTACTGTTCCTTCTGGTTTCAGTTCTTGATTTACTTCGAACTCTGTCATATTTGCGAACTTGCTCATCTCTCTGATCGTTTAATCTGTACCTCGATTTCCACCATGTGCTTAAGCATGTTTACTTCGTGATTCTATTTTTTGCCCAATCCTTTCTTGAATACACACATTGCTTACATATCTGTTGATTTTTGCCACTGTTTTTGGCTTCACACACCTGCACAAGCTTTACCACTGTGTTCTTGATGATTCATCACTGTTCTTGACTCTGAATCGCATTCTTGTTTTTTTCTGTGTTTTTTCCAGATTCTTGCCTTCAATCCTTGTTTGCCTAGACCTAGGTTTGGGATTTGTCTATAGAACTTACGAACCTTAGGAAGAACTGGCAGAAATTCCCCTTAGATCCATACAAATTCTTACCATAGTACATATTTAGGTTTTAGCCGAGGTATTTCAGACCCCTATAAAGCACTTCCTTTCGAAATCCAATACTCTCCCCCTAAGCCGATATCATGGGTATGTGGAAGCATAGGGTAGATACCCTAACCAAGTTGGAATATTTCAGGCGGGAGTTTTCCGTCCTAACCGACGTCCATCTGAGGTTGGCTGGAGAGGATGACTCCATCATGCCCACAATCGATTCTATGCCCTTCCCCACTGTAGCTTTCATAGAGTGTGGACTTAGGCTCCCACTCGACATCCTCTTTCGAGAAATCCTTCATTACTATAAATTGAACCCAATGCAGCTTGCCATCAACTGTTACCGAGTTATTAATGGTACAATAGCCTTAGCCAAACAAGAGAATGCTAGGGTAACTTTAGCCGATATCCAGTATTGCTACACCATGTGTGGCCTTAAATTAGAAAAAGGCTACATCTACTACCTTAAACCGAGGTCCACTGAATACAAAATTGTTACCGACCTCCCAGACTCCAACAAGGAGCTGGGGACGATTATTTCATTGTCTCAGGGAACTGGGAGTTCGATCCAGATGAGGACCTCCACCTCTACCCACTTAGCCGAACAGTTTTCGTAGAGGGTAATGGTAAGAGCCAAGTGTTTATACCTACTTGTTTTCAAAGCCTTCAATTCTTTGCTCTTTTATTCATTCTAACGTTTGTTTTCCATGCAGCTCTTCCCCAACCGGCAAAGGATTTTCGCAAGTCTTTTTTCCCGAGCCAAAGCTTGAAAAAGCTGTTAGACCTGTCAGTTCACAAGTGGAGAGCCCCCCTACTGCTCAACTTCATCCCGACTTACAAGTCAAATCTTCCTGACATTCCGAAGAAGAAGAGAGCAAGTCTCCTCCATCCGCCACTACACCTCCGACAACTTCATCATCTCGGCCAGATCAGGGATCAACCTCTGATCCAGCTGAGCTACCATCAACTTCGGCTCCATATCTGATCCCTTCCTCTCAACGCTGACGAAGATAACTGCAATTGCCGCTGAGATGGGCCGCAAAAAAAGCAGTCGCAGAGGATCTTTTGGCCGACATCCCTACCACCGTTGACGCTCAACCACTACCATCTCAGCCTCAACCAAAGTCGAAACAAAAAAGACTGAAGAAGGCTCAGCCAAAGGCAACGGTGACTCAGATTGACACTGAGGACACCTTGCCAATTTCGAAATTGGCCAAGAGCGGGAAGACCGCCTCCGTCCCCGAGAAGAGACCCGCCGAGGCCGAACCATCTCAATCAACTCGGTCTAAGAGGCCGAGGTCAGAGTCGGCGGCAGCTTCAGGTTCTTTGAAGTCTGACTCCCCCTGGGCTCCCCCAATCACAATGGAGGACAGGCCGATCAGAGTAAACGGCAGCACCGTCGACATTAACGTCGGCGTTGCCCTTACAGCAGCCTTGCTCCTTCTTGAAGATCTCGATCGTAACGCCGAGATGAGCGAGTATGAAAACTTCGCTTTGATGCTGTAGCATTCCGTTCAAGTAAGTTCCTTACACTTGGTATTTTTCTTTCTCTATTCTTCCATACTTTTAGAACTTCTACTAACTTTTGTTCTGTCAATTTTTCTTTCAGGTGATCCAGCATGCCCACTCCTTCTCAATGCAAGCTTTTGAAATGAGGAAGGAGTTGGCCGACAAGATCAGAGAGGTCTCTGGTTTGCAAAAGACCTTAAAAAAGACCAAGTGAAAGATGAAGACCTTGTCAGATCAGGCCGAAACAGCCATTAAAGCTAAAGACGAGGCCGAAAAAATAGCAGATGCTGCAGAGGCCATTAAGAAGGTTCTTGAGGCGCAAAAGAAAAAGGCCGAAGAAAAGATGGCCGAGGCCCAAAAAGAACTTTAGGATGCCTTGGCCACAAAAGAGGCCGAGATTAAGGCCGCTGATGAGAGGGTGTATGCTGAAGTGGCGGCTGACGCCAAGGAGGACTACAAAAAGCAAGTGAAGCAGGCATGAAATAAGGGTTTCACCTTTGGTTGGATGGCTGCCCTCAAGAAGCTTGAGGTCCCTGAGGACTCCCCCCTCAAGAATGTCGACGTCCTCCCCCTTCCATTCCCCCATACTCCAAGCCAATCTGAAGACGATTCTGAGTTTGAGGATGAAGCTTTGGTGGGGAAGAAGAAGGATGCTGCTGGGGCCAAGTCCCCTACTCTGAATGAGCAAGTCGTGGACTTGTCTCAGGATGAGGAGGGTGAGGTCTCTAAAGATGCCTCCTCTCAGAAGACAAACTCCGAGGTGCCGATCGCTGAGAAGAGCCTGGATCAAACTCTTCAGGAGATTGATGCTGAACTCGCGGCTGAGAAGGCTGCTGAGAAGTCTTCCCAACTATCTTCTGGGGGTGAGACCCAACCCGCCACCAACGCCGAGTAGTTTTATTTTGATGTTTCCTTTTTTATTTCTTGTACCTTGTACTCTGTTTATGTTAAACTTTTAGCTGGCCGACATGCCTTCTTTTGTCTGTAAATATAACTTCCTTTCTTTTGAATGCTCGTATGTGTTTCTTCTTTTAATACCTCTATATTTTGAATAATTTGCATGTCTTCTACATACACCTTAACTGTGCAATCTTCTTGGGGTGACATACCTCGGTTATACAAACCAACGCTTTCATCTCGGCAAGTACGCAAGTACTTCTTTCGTTACAACCTTGGCTTACCTTGTAAATTTTTCTAAAAAATTTCAACAAGTGTTTTAAACCAATCTTCCTTTGAGACAACCTCGGTTTAACTTTAACTTGTAAATTTTTCTCAAATTTTAACAAGTGTTAAACATGACCTCGGTTAAATTTTAACTTGTAAATTTTTCTCAAATTTCAACAAGTGTTAAACATGACCTCGGTTTAATGTCAACTTGTAAATTTTTCTCAAATTTCAACAAGTGCTAAACCAATCTTCCAAGCATCAATTTCTAGCCCTAGCCCTCTGCCCCCTAATGTGAACCTAAGTTCCACTTGGGTTCTCATTTAAGACTGGGGCTTTGACCTTGTTGCAGAGGTCAGATTCAGATAAAGACTGGCCGAGGTAACCAACCTCGGCCTTTTTGTTAATCTGACTGATACGTACTTAGTTCCAATCTGAGTTTGATTCTGTCAGTTTGACCAGCCCAGGTCATCCCAACTTAGTTCAACTCTATTATATGCAAGTAAAAGTTCTACTCTGCCATATAATAAGTCTAAGTTATTCATCATGCTTCATTCACCCGCCAAGGCCCAACCATCCGAATCTACTAGATCAAAGAGGCTGAGGTCGTCCTCTGTGACCACCTTGGGGCCATTAAAACATGACTCCCCCTGGGCCCCGCCA